CTCTCGGCTCGTGCTGAAGGAAGACAGCACATTCCTGTGCAAGCTGGAGTGCCTGAAGCTGGAGATCGTCTTGCTGGCTCTCAAGGGCGGCTACCGGGTCCTCACCAACCTGGACAGCAGCAGGGGGTCGGTGGTGCAGTGCGAGGCCCTGCACTTTGTCAAATGACCTGTCGGGAGCGTTCGTCTGGGCTGCTCAACTGAAAGGCTGACTCCGCCAAGAAAGATCAAGGTTCTTCTTTTCCTCTTAAGAGAAAACACTTTATGATTTCTAGCTTTTCTTTGCTGTTACTCCCCCAAAAGCCTCAGCGTACAAGAATTGATGAGTATTGTGTACCTTCTGCCTGCATTCAGATTCGTTTATGTGGCGCGCTCTTAGATTTTAACTTCCAGCTTCCACCTTCCCGCTTTGAGAACAGGCATGAGGCTTTGTGCAACAGGCTGCTCAAAAAATGCTGTTACTTATGGCAATCTTCCTGGCTCTTTTCCCTTATAATAAAACCTCCAAAGTACTCAATGATCTTGATATCATAAAACAGTATATGAAAATTTTAACCTGCTATATTCGTTGTATTTGTTCTCCTTCATACAAACCCAGGTGCAGGTCGAAAGAACAGTACGATCGAATTTTGAATAATGCATGCTTGTATAAAAGTGGTTGTTCTAACTGGAGCGATCATATGATTTGTATTGTGAAGTGATTTACGATATGTGCTCTTCTGTATCTGTGATTAGGTTTTGCAGAAAAATAAAAGGTGTAGTATTATGGATGCTATTATAGCTTGTTTGAATGCAGCGCTGCAGAAATGTGTAGAAACTGCCGCTCCACGACCTGCTGTTGTGAGTGTGCGAAAGGTTAGGGAATGAAGGAATGTAAATTTGGTTTCGAACCATTTTCACTACGCAGGGGTGAGAGTGAGCTGCTGATTTTGGCGTTCGATCTTTCACACTGATTTTAATGTACGGAGGTTGCCGTGGGCTCTTGCTTAGTTGGGATTGGCTGAACGTGTGAAAACAAAAACGATAATTGTATTCTTTTACAATTACCATAGTAGCGTATATTCAAATCAGAGATGTAGGAGTATTTATGCGTTGTGTTGCTCACTAGAATCAGATAATTTTCTATGGGAATCGTTTTCTTACGCACATAAAAGCATGTGCATCTGGCTCATAATTCAGCTTCATTCTATCATAACACCCAGCCTCCTTTCCGAAAATCATTATGTCGTTTAAGTTAATAATGCTTGCGATCCACAAAACGCATGTGTGAATTGAAGACTGTTTGGAACGCTGACTATGTATCTGCATGGAAAACATGTACGATAGTAAACATTTTAAACGCGCCTTCATCGATCTTTTCTCCAAACGTGGATAAAGCATTCCCCTCTCCCTTCCGCAAATGCCCTTCGGGAAACGGCGAACTAAATAGATGCTGTCAACTGAAAAATTGCCTTATTTATCAAACGGATTATCAGGGAAAGCACCACACCCTTAAATTAAAGACTAAAACTGATCAAGTCTGCGTGTTTGAAGTTTATTCACAACTTAGAAAGCTTGTCAGCTCTTTGGTTCCCTCTGGGTAAAACACGTTGTAATGAAACATTTTAATTCGAGTTTAAATATTCCTCTTTGTGCAAATTAAAATTATATTACCAAATGGATAGAGTAGTATGGTTTTCCTTTTGCTGTTGCATACAATGCACTCATACCTTTCTTAATACTCGCATTATTACGCATTAATATGGTTCTTCCCTATTTCATCTCTTTTACAAATACAACATTTAAAAATGACAACCGATTGTGATCGCCAAAATTGATATATGATGGAGCTGATAATGTAGTGACGGCCTCGAAAATGTCAATGGGCGGTTTAATTCATTTGATGTCCTGGACTTTACTCAAAATACTGCGCTAATGCAACAGCTTGTGACCTCATACCACCCTTGCTGGATTTTTTTTTTCATTTTGGGATCAGATTTCCAATGTTATGAGACTGTTATGAGATGATGAAAATACAATTAAATAAAATAGGTTTCTAGTTCTCCCTGTTAATTAGCCCAATAAGGGGGAAAAAATTAGATGGTACCCAGAGGTAGGAAGGCTAGTAGAAGAATCCGCCCAATTAAATGTCTGGGGCGTTCAGATGGACAAACACATGCACATATTTCGCATACGGTAACTCCCACTACAGAGCAGACTACAGCCCCACACAGAAGAAACAATCTGCTTCGGTTAACTAGCATCCGCTTATCAGCAATCGCATGAATCAGAAGGGCACACTTTTCATCAAGGCGCCAGGCCATTCCCCATGCAAGTCCACTTCATGGTGCATCTCTCCAGACCAGCTGTCCTGCTTCTATGGCCCCACTGGTTTTTGATCGGGGAATGTGGTGCCACAGAGACATCGATTCCTGTCACGTGACGATTAAGACGGGAGACAGACAGCACTCCTTCCGACGGGAGATGCGTGTTTTCCGTCTACATGTCCATGGGGCGGCTCTATATTCATTCGCTACCGACACATCAAATCGCTCACACATTAGTAGTTGGGTTGTTTTTTTTTTTTCCTTCCTGCACGATTTCTTATTAAATCCATCTGCCACAACACAAGCGAAAGCACGGACAGACCAACAGGGGACTTCATTAGCCAAGGCTCGTCATGTCTCTCTCCTGACTGTCCTGTTAAGGGGGGACTTTTCCGCTGTCGCTATGTCGGCCCACTCTTTAAGCCATGCATCTCACATTTTCACAGTGGCGTTAATTAATTGACCTGAGGGGGCTGATGTGTGAGCCAGCCCTGCAAAAATTTACCTCAAAATTCACAAAAAGCCCCCCTAAGCTATACACACTTCTATCTACAGTCCTGCTCACAAACAGGACCATGTGCACAAATATCCTTTCGCCATTTGCTAGTGGGGCTAATTCTGCATACCCATTCACCCACAGCGGAAACTTATCTCTAGTTTGTAAAAAAAAAAAAACCCATAAAAAATACTTCAGGTGCAACAGCAGGCAGTCTAAGGCAGTCATATGCATCTTGCACCTAGGAAATATGCATTACATTAAGATACCAGTAGGTGGCGCAGTGGTTCAGGAGGTGCTGTTGCCTCATACCTCCAGAGAGGGCATTGCTTTGTGTGTGTAGTTTGCATGTTCATTTTGTGCTTCGTGGATTCCATTTAAGGACTCTTTTCCTCAGTCTTTGTGTACTGAGCCCCCTGGGGTAGGCTTATTCCCTAAGCTGTTGGTAGATGACTGGATGGATTTAGATATAAAACCATGTTTTTTTTTATGCTGTGGTCACAATCAGTTAAAAAATGTGACCAAGACAAATTTCACACATTTTTATATTTTTTCCCTCCAAACAGGCTGTGTACTCACTTCAAATGCATGTTATCAAAACCATTCTACAGCTCTCAGGCGAACCAGGAACCCAAAGGTCTTGCACAGATGGGATTCTTGCACACAAAAGGATGAATGTGCCGGGGTATTTCTCCTCAACAGCCGGGACCCACATTCACAACACGCTTTGCATCACAGATTCAAAGATTTGCAATCTACAAAGAGGGTGTCCCTGCCATTCTCAAAGGTAAGACACAAAAGGTAGCATTTTTCATGCGCTACGCCTTTAAGAAAGGCCGCGCGATCGAAGTGAATTGACCACAATGTCAGTGGCACGGAAAATAGGATTGATTCTGCAAAGCGAATTGCCACTTAATCACAAAAGGATGTGATGAACAAGCCTATTGAGAAAGATGAAAAGCAGGCGGTAATGTGTTTTTTCTTTCTTGAAAATGACAGCTGCTGTGTTGGCCAAACAGATTTGCAAAAAGAAAGGTTTGTGTTCCTGTAGCAGTGCTGATGTCATACACCTGAGGTGACAGTTAACCTGAATTACTTCAATAAGATGCAACTCTTTTAGAATCACACGTTTGTAATGATGTTTACCAAGCTGTAGGGATGGTTAAACATTGTAAGTTAAGCTGAAAGAAGGCAACAATCTGTTAGTTAAATATTGGTTTCAAAACAATGTGATAGAGCTGAAATCTTTGTCATCAACTCATGTACATTTCTGGCAGCTAAACTCCATAAATTGCTAATCAAAAACATATCAAATCAGTCAAAATAAACTCTTCTTTTGCTCTCCTCTCACTGGGTTATTTAGGAATACAACAAGCACCTGTCAGAATAATATCGCAAAGTTAATAAAAAAAACGGCACTGCATCCAAATAGCGTTTATCTTCATGCCAGGTCAGCAGCTCAGGTACCTAGCCTGATGACACCTGGAACATTGGATCGTGCTTTTCACACCGACTCATTAGCGGTCAAGAAATAAGCCCACAGCAGTCGACGAGAATCAGCACAGCGCTGAGGGGCTGCAACAGCGCGACACCCCCCCCCCGAAGCCACATTCACCGCCAACTTCTGTGGCGAAACCTGTTGCTTAGCAACTACTTAATCAGTACCTGCAGCTCGTGAAGGCTTGGCAGAAAGCAGGGGCCAAAAACGGAGGGGGGGAGGGGGTGGAATGAAAACTGCAATTTACATTCCACACATTTCTGTATGAATCAAGTCTTTAATGGACCCAATTAGCTTGACCGCTGCAAAAATGGATCTGCGGACGCACACCCTGTAATCGGCATGCAAATTACCAGTGGAAAAGTGTCACCAACTGGAAGAAGCTTACACATGTGATACAGACCTAGATGTGGGCAGACTCAGCTTATTTTAATTTCCTATAGTCATAACAAAAAAAATACAAGTACAATATTCAGACTAAGAACGAAATGAACACAAAATCTAGGATTATTAATCATAAAATGTGCTATTGTATGCAAGACAGGGTAACATCATGTAAATAGACTTTAATGACTAACCCTGTTAATACATTTGCAAATATGTGTTTACCCACCAGAAAGAAGTTTATAAACATCTGCAAGGCAGCTGGACCAGACAGAGTTTCAGCCGGTGTTTTTAAAACCTACAGCAACCAATAAAAGGCTGTTTTCAGTGACATTTTAATTTCCAAATTATGATATGTAATTACGCTTAATTTCTCACAATGATAATTGCATGATATTTGCCAACCTGATGAGAATATGCAGTCAGGCAGGCAAAGAAAACATGCTGACTTAATGTTCACATGTAGTATTTTACTCTCACAAAGACTTGTTGCTGGAAGTCTAACAGAGGGCTTATCGCCACCCAGTGGCCAAAAAAAGATATTGAGTCCTCAGAACTATTCTTTTTGGTTCAAATTGTTGTGCTCCTGGGATTTCTGGCTTTGGTAACCACTGATACAGAAGATCAAATCACTTCCAAATTATGTGACAAGCTTTAATATAACTAGCTGTACTAATTGGATTGATCTGTTGGGTAGGTTGACTTTGACCAGGCCTTAAGTTTCTGAAACATCATGGATTGGAAAACTGCATGTTATTCAACTCAGATCATTTTGGGTTCACTTTCTACAAGAAAGTACTGGGATCAATTGCTAACAATGGATTTAAAACTCCAAACTACCCATTAATTATAACATATGAGAAGATTAAAATATTAATTTAATGATAAATGCTGATGTTTAGTCTTCACAAAAAATATTATGCCCTTCAACATGCCTTATGGTTCATGAGATACGACAATAAAAATGTTTGAAAACAAGATATTGTTCACTTTATATAAAAAAAACACTCTGGCATCTCAAAGTATTCCTCAAATAAATAAAATGCAGGTGCCAAGTTCCATTTTTAAAATTCTGAGGAGAGAGTAACATTTGATGTTGCATGAAATGAACTTAAAGATTTTTAAAGTGAACAGCCAACACACTGGTCCTCAAAATATCTGACGATGACGATCATTCAGCCTACACTCGGAAAGTAAACATATTAGTCTAAATACGACCCTGTGGTTGATAGGCTCCTGCTGGCATGCCACCTGATGCAAGAGGAGGACCCTTAAATGCAATCCCCAGCTAGGAACAGACTATAAAAGGGAATTATTTCTGTTCTTTTTCTGGTGCCTCTCTCTCTCTCTCTCTCTCTCTCTCTCTCACACACACACACACACACACACACATACCTCACAACTCACAAAACAAAGTTCAATTATGAACAAGAACTCCCAATTCATCAGACCCCAAATCCTACGCCTTTGCCAAATTAAAGAGCTGATCTGATGGGACAGGATCTGAAACACTTTCCTCACACTACCTACAAGAACATGCGGTCCTTGCTGTGCGAGAACCGAGTATTCAGCTCCTGGGACTTCTTCAGCAGGGTCTGCTTCTGGGCCTCGTCAAAGCGGTTCACCTGGAGATCAGCATCTCGGTCGAAGGGCCGCCTCTCCACCGGCTTGTTGGCGTCTGCTTCGGCCTTGCTCTTCATCTTCTTGGTGTGCATATTGAGCAGTGACTCTCCCCGTTTGGATTCCTTTTTAAAAATGGAACAACATACATTTCACCATTTCAGCTTCAGCCAGCGCTCCTGCCACCAACGCAGCCGGTGAAGCTGAGCTTACATTGTACTTGGACACCTTATCTGCCATCTGGAGGTCTTTTTGGGAGAAGCGTGGTGACTCTTCCTCCTGTGGCTCACCACGTTGTTTCTTCTCCAGACATTCCTGTGGGATAGGGAGGGAACAAAAAAAGAAACAGATCAACCCCCCACTTGATGATTAATCACCATGGATTGTAAAAGCATGCTGCACAGTAAACTCCTATGAGTTTTCCTGGTCTTACTGAGCTTCAACAACACTTTTCCAAATGATACAAATTGCTAAAATGATAAGCTTTGGCTGTTGCCTTGGATACAAGCATCCGACTAAGATCATAAGTACTGCGTTGGTCGTTAGACGTGCCTGGGCTTTGCGCTCGCGGTCTGCGGGGGTGTCTGTCCAAATGGAGCGATCTTTGTCCTCTGGTCCAGACCGCTTCTTGAAGCTGCGCGCTCCTAGGCCAATGTGCTGAAGCTCAGGCGGAAGCTCGGTCATCCAAGCCTCCCGGGAGAGCTCCTTGGGACTGCTCTGCAGGTGGGAACGAGCTCATTACCTCCTCCCTCCTCAATTACAGTGCTCCTATAGCTCAACAAGTAGAGCATGGTGTCAACAGTCCAAAAGTCAAGGGTACAAATCCAAGGGAACACACATTAATAACGCCTCTCTCTACTGTAAGCTGCTACTGATAAAACAGTCAGCTAATGAATTAAATGCATCAGTTTTCTTTCCTTGCTACTTTAGGACACAGAAGGCCATGACAGCAAATGGGCATATTTTGACTATCCATTTTCAATCAAGTGACATGCTGTTTTACTCAAACATTTGAATATTTGAAATTTAAAAAACTTAATCCATTAAATTACATTTCTAAGTAGAAATAGATCTGTTGGATTACTGACATGTGAAAATATGCAATACTCAATGATTAACTTATTTCTAAATCAAAAATTCAGTTTTGAAGGAAAAAAAAAAAAAAAAAAAAGAACAAAAAACAATAACATGAGTCCAAGTCACAGTCCTTACATCACCATGAATAAGTTTCTCTTTCATTCTTCTTGCTCGGAGTTCAAAATCCATGGCAACATTGCTGCAAGCGACTCCCTGGGCAGGCATAGGCCCAACAATGACATCATCCTCACTGTCACTGCTGGACGCCTGTACAGACACAGCCACACACACACACACACATCGACACAGTCAACACATTTACACTGGCCGTTCCAATGCCCAGTAACATCTGCTACACAGGAACTGGAATTCATCTTTAATCCTCCTAATTCTACCTATAACATTAATCAACACAGGATACTAAATACCTCCCAAGATTAGACAATGGGAAAAATGTAACAAACTAAATTATTTTATGGAGAAATTACACGAGAAGCTTTGATTAGCAATGCCCTGTATCCACGTAGTGGACAAGCAGCTAACAGATGAATGGATAGATGGGTGGATGTACGTTTCACAATATCGTTCCCCACCTCTGCCACATAATCGGGAGGCAGTGCTGGCCCAGAGAAGACCTGGCCGTCTTCGTCATTGCTGTCATCGTTATTGACATGTGAAGCCTTGAGAAATCCTGGCGGAAGGGCAGGGCCCAGCACCGGCCTGACAATAAAACATCTGCACTTATTTTGCACAAGATGGTACTACTTCAATACACAATTCGTTGCCTACACTTCTCTGTATGTTACTGACAGACTGGGAACACTGCTTGTTAGTACCTTTCTGGCGAGCTCTGCTTCTTGTAACCTGGTGGAAGAGCAGGCCCAAAGAAACCTTCATCTTCATCCCTCTCATCTTTCTCTGATTCTTCCACCTTACGCTGCTTGCTTGAAGAAAAAAAAATCATAGTTTTTAACCTAGCAAAAGATCACCATTTACAAAACTGCGCAGCATTCAATGACACAGCTTAGTTCCTTTATGTTACATTGCATGGGATCTTATCTTTCACGTCCCGGTGACTCGCCTACAAGGAGATTTATACTTTAAGATTCACTCATTTAACAATATCGCACCTCCTTCACCTGTAAGGTGCCACCACACACTGTGAAGTTAAATAAAGGATCTCAGCCTTCCACGTACTTCGATGTCGGGCCATCGCCTATCTCCTGTTTAACAGCCGGCCTGCTTCTCTTGAAGACCACCTGCTCTTCCTGTTCGCTGTTATCCGACGAGCTAGAATCATCTGCCGGTTTGTATCCCGGCGGAAGCGCCGGACCTGCAACTGCGGAAAGAGTTGCGTTTAAAAAACAGGCTGCACCCACATATAAACTGCCACCACTATTCCCGGCTACTATGCAAACCAAAGCCACTTCGATTTCACAATCAGGCTGACAAGAGACTCCTGCAAAGAATGTCTTTTTAGTAGTCAGCCTTGGAATTTCACTGGTTACGGATATACAGTATTCTCGATGTAGTTGGTGTATATTGAACTGTTCACGTTAGAAACATATCAACTTAACCAAACAGTTAAGTGATTTACATGTACCTTCTCCATCGGAGTCATCGTTAGTGCGGCTTTTAATCCATGGAGGTAGGGCAGGTCCAATTAAAACATCATCCTCTGACATAATTTTTAAAAATCATAAACCATCCGCAGCCCTTGATTAACTTGTTCTTGTGTTTTGAACTTTTGGTGGAGACCCTTTGACCCCGCTTTGCTCCGGAAGTGAATGAATAAAAAGCCGGAGATTTTAGCACATACTGCCACCTTGTGTTCGTTACTTTAAAACACTTCGAAATTGTTTGTACGTATATATAAAGACAGAGACGACATTGCTTCGATCCCATATTTTAATTGTGTATTTGTACGGTATTAATTAACGTTATTAAACAACCTTTCCGAAAAGAGTGACCGGCCTGTTTCCGGATATGACGTATGACGCATGACGTATTACCCACATGGCTTGGAAGCAGAGTGGAAGACATGTGCAAGGGAATCCAAACAAGTTTACGAACGTCGTCTTGTTGCTGAAGTTTATGTCGCCATGAACGATTTTAGTCAATTTCCACCTCCATTTTTCAGCAGCCCAACCCAAGACTCTGTACTCCGACCTCCGGTGTTTAACTGGCAGCCTCGTCCCGGCAGTTTTAACTCTGGTAATGGGAACTGGTTTCAGCCTCCATCTGTTCCGTGGGTTAGAAACCCTCCAGTGAATTGTTACAGAGCACCTACGCATTGGAAGAGTGGCTTTGATCCAAACCGTAATGGTGAGTTGCAGCTTATGTGCATTCTGACAAATGTTGGTGTCTTTAGTTGGCAGTTATAATATATACCCGTAAATATACCCGTAAAACGTCAAACCAACCGGTAACCTAAACGAAAAACCGTATCAGCTTAGCTGTCGTTTTTGTTTTAGATCGGCATTTCAATACGGGCTATCAACGTCATCTCCAGGAAAATGCACACGTGGGGAGAAATAAGGTAATTTTTATTTATGCTTCTGCGGTGTCGTATGGCACTTTAAACAGAGTTAGTTGTAATCAATATACTCACCAAGGCCACAGTAACCGTTCTGAAAAACAGTAAGATAACTAATGTCAAAGCCTCAAATGGAGTTCAAAGAGGAAATATTCTGCTATACCGGGAAAATGTTTTACTGTTTTTATTTTTCAGAAAAAGAAAAAGGAACCAGTGTTTATGCATTTCTGTGACACCTGTGACAGAGGTTTTAAAAATCAAGAGAAGTATGATGAACATTTGGCACAGCATGTTAAGGTGGGGATCAGTTACACTTTACATTTCTGCTCCTTGGTATGAAAAAAGTCAGTTGTACCCTAATATTCTGAATGAAGTCTGGCATTCCTGTTTTTCAGTAGGAGTGTTAAAACATGCCTCTTTTTTTTAAGTGTTCAGTGGAAGGCTGCAGTTTCACAGCTCATGAGAAACTTGTCAGCATTCACTGGAGAAATGTAAGTAAAATTGAATGTTTAGTTGTAGTTGACAATTCATGTTTTGCAGTTAGGTCCAACTTTTTGTTTATATGGTTGATGCAACATGAATTGTATCAATTTTGTTAGAGCCACGCGCCTGGAACCAAGAAGATCAAACTTGACACTGCAGAAGAAATCGCAAAATGGAGAGAGGAGAGAAGAAGGTTAGACAGCTTTAAGCCTCCCACTATGTTCAGTATCTTCTTTACCTCCCATTTTCCTTTTGTCAGAAGTACTTTTCCAATATAGATGTTCTAAGTAATCGATTGTGCATCTGTGCAGTTCTGCATTTATTTTATAACCAGTATTTGGTTACAGAATAACCACTAGGGGGAGCACATGTTTGGAATTTTGATGTATATGGGAAGTTGAAATTATTATTTTTTTACTTCCAATGCAGGCTAATAATGAAATGGAACAATGTACAACGAGCAGTAGTTAATTTTAATATTTGCTTTTATTGAAATACACAGTTTAATGCAGGTATATTTAAGGATCATAAATATAAATGTATGTATGTATTTCAAAACCGATAACTGTGGACCAACATTATTTCTTAGGAACTATCCCACTGTATCCAATGTGGAAAGGAAGAGAAGGATACTGGAGGATCGAGAAGAAAGGGGAGAGGTTCTGGAAACGGCGCAGTTTGGGTACGCTGCACTTTCATCTTTAGGCCCTTCATTGACTTGACTCATCTGCTCAGGTGTTAGATATTGTATTTTGTAATACTGTCTTCTCAGATCTGGATACAAACGAATGGGACGTTATCTGAAAGAGAATGAAATATGTTTTCACTAAATGTATCTTTACTCTTTTGGTGAATTCATACTGATTTCTTATTCCTGTTCTCAGCATCTGCATTGATGCTGCTGTTCTGCAGCATGGCATGTTTGTGTTGGATCTCGCGCGCGTTCTTTCTGCATGTGAAGAGCCAGAGCTCACTCGGGTCTGTCCTCTGCTCAGGCGAATGAGAGGAAGGGGTCGCGGCTTCCATCAGCGAGGCAGGAGGTTCCAAAACAACCAGAGAAGGGCATGGTCAAGGCCGGGGATGCCTGGCCATATGATGGGAATGACCACAGCCCCACCCCTTAAACGTAGCCCCAAAGACGGAGATCCACTTGGAGCCATTGTTAACAGTGACCAAGGTCAGAGGTCACTTGTTTCTTTTGTCATTTAACTTTGTATTCTGATATAGGGTTTATGGGACTGCATTCCATCAGCAAGTGCCAGGTAAATGAGGTACGTTACATAGTGAAGGCCTCTCAGGTCTTCAGCACAAAGAAGGGCATTCGTGCTTAAAGCTGCCACGTGCCTTTCACCACCGTTTTATAACGTACGGGCATTTTGTCGTAACGTGCGTACTGGCTGTTCTGGAGCTAATCTTTTAATAAAAGTGTGTTGAAAGTCCGTGGTCTGTCCTTGTAGAGTCTGACAAGGACGAAACAGCCGACGCTGGAAAAGACGGCCTGACTGTGACCCCGAAGCACATGACCTCCGGTCTAGGTGCCCTCGTGGCCAACTATGACTCCACCTCTGAGAGTGACCAGGAGCCAGAGGGTGCGGCATTCCGTTGATGTTCAGTCAGATATCTACTTCCTGGCATTTTTTTGTAGACCTTCTGTTTTTTTTGGTCAAGATCTCTTGTTTATGGTCTGCTTTGTAACCAATAAAACGATATCGTTCTCCAGTCTTGGAATATGTCAGTCATACTTTAGAGATTTATTATTGTATTATTACAAGAAGTTATGATATTGTTCTCATTTCATTCCTCGTAAAACATCTGGTATTAATTTGACAGTGTTGCATGTTGTGATATTAGGATGTTTTCTCTGTGTGTCTCATGCATTAAGTAATATTATCACAACAAGCAAGGAACTGAATGCTAGATACCTGTATAATTTTAGCCAGGTAGGGATTTGCATCCAGGTATGTGACAGTAACGGTAACGTGTGCTTCCTCTTCCAGCTCTGCCTATACTGAAGGTCAGCAAGGTGCTTGAGGAGAACCGGGTCATGCTGAAGACCGTGCCTGAGAGTGTCAAGGGTCAGCCACCTCCCCGGGGGTCAAGGGCTCCCGCAGCTACTAGTGCACCGTGGGCCGGCACTGCCCCTAATAGGCCAGGAAGAGGGGGGCGTCCTTTCCGAGGCCCGAATGCACCACAGCAGCGCCGCCCTACACTACTGGAGATGGTGAGTCCCCAGTCCATTGGAGCGAAATGGTGCATACTGTCTACTGTGGGAGCTGCTGAGTATGGAAAGCCAGTCCTGGGACATTCATTTATGTTTGAAGAGTTATGTTGGGGAAAAAAATCCATTCTGAGCTTCTGATTTTATATATTGTCAGAAAAGTACTTTTTAAGGGTATTTTCCTGTCTGAGGCACACAGAACTAGGGGTGTCCTGATCCACTTTTTTGGTACCCTGATCCATTCAATATTTATATCTGCTGATTCTGAGTCCCGATCCGACCTTTTAATAAATATTTTAATATTCATACACATATAATAGGCATCGGTGCATAATTCGTCTGAGAAAATGTCACCGTTTTACAGTGTTCTTCATGATGGTTCTTTAAGTATCTAATTTGATTTGTTGTATTGAATGACGCCGTGTTGCTACCTCCTCTCAAAGGATGGCATCGCAAACATCGCAAGTTGATGTTGGGCCGCCTTCAGTTTCCAATTTAAATCATTTCCACACGGCTGACATCTCGATAGTTTGTGGTTTCAAGGCCCATGCCTGAGGCTCAATGCAGCTCAATGCGGCTTGCGACGGAACTTTACGATCCGCACAGCTGACGTAAATTGGGCGGACGCGGCAAGTGAAATAGATCGGGTTCTGGAAGCCGATACCGTTCAATTAAAAATGGTCTGGGTTGGCCCCGATTCTGATCTTTGATATCAGCCCGGGATATCACTGCATAGACTACATCTGCAAGCCCTGTTCCTTAATGACAGTGCACTTTGCTGACTTTGAAAAGGTCTCATGCTGCATGGAAAAGGTCCTCATGCGATAGACCAGATCGGGTGGCAGTGTAGCTAAGAGTGGGCAGCTTGTCACTGGTGCCACCTGGGAAGCTGCTCTGCAAATGGGCACAATCGTATGTTGTTAGGCAGGTGACATTATCTGAGTAATAAAAAAAAAATTGTAGCAATTGTTGCTCCAGATTTTTTTTTATCATTTTGATTTTAGTCCCATGGATCAGAAATGCTGTTACTGGGAGACATTGCTGCTTGTTTTTGTTATTAAAAGCTCTCAATCCGTTGAGAACAACAACTTTTGTTTTGTTTTAAAAACCCAGCGAAATACTTGGAAGGAAAGCTTATTTATTTGAGGTAAGGTAATGATTAGTTGAATCATGTGGTTGAGTGCCTAGCTAAAGCAAAAGCCTGTAAACAGCAGTGCCCACCCCCCGCCCCCAGAAGCGGGCTTGAGTAACTGTCCGTTGGGGCAGCAGGTAAACGCGTTTCCCAGACCCCTCCGGCGGTGACCTCATCGACAGCGTCGGCCAACTGAAGTTTGCTGACAGCAGATGCGAGCGCAGTTTCTATACCAGGAGTGGCTTCGGTCATTCAGCAGCATAGAACTTGCTGAATGTACGCACTCAATGGGGTTGCCAGGCTACCGACCCCTCGGGGCAATTCCAGTGAGCTAAACCCGGCTGGAGAAAGGAATTTGTATTCACATAAGAAGATTTGTGGGTGAACGGGATGGGATAATGTGGTTTAGTACCATTCATTTCGACTTACGATTCATAAACTCAATCGGTACACGATGCATCAACAGCGGAAAAAGTAGCCAAGTTCAGAAATTAACTGAAATTTGTTGTTTTTTTGCTTGTTTTTTTAAATAAGCAATTGATTTATGTTTCTGTGTGGCCATGTGACACACTTTGGGTAAATGTATGTGCAAATAATTTTAAGGCAAAATATTTTGTAATTGGGTAATACCTTTTTTATGTATACTCTGTGGCTGTAATTATAAGGATTTCTTTTTCCTCTTCTCGCCCGACATTGTGAAGAATATACAGTACTTCAAAAACAGGGGGGGGGGGGTTTAAAAAAAGAAACTGCTTCAAACTAATGCATTTTTCCAGTGTAGTTTATTTCCTAATCGATGGCAGTTTAAGATCTTTGAACGAGAAATGAATCCTCACATTGGGTTTTTAAGTTGCTGAAGCGACTGATCGAACAATCATTTAAGTAAGAATGTCTTCATTGTGTCCCCATAGCTGCTGGCCCCGGAGATACGCCGCGAGAGGAATGTCCTCCTGCAGTGCGTCCGCTTTGTCGTCCAGAACGCTTTCTTCGGGCTGGACGACAAAGCTGAGGAGAGCACTGCAGTGGACAGTGGTTCGGTCACCAAGCTCGAAGGAAAGCGCCGACCGTGGACTGAAACTGGAGAAGCCACATCTGCTAGAAATCACCAGTATGGGCTTGACCTTTCTGAGCAGAATGTTGGGGTTGGTAGAAGCCAGCATGCCTCAGAACCTCCCAGCCTAGATGGGTCCACCCAAGACCGTGGGCAGGACTCCGGCAAACCTGGATCGTTAACCGAGAAAACGTCAGCATCTCTAGGCCACTGTACAACAGGAAGTGACCAAAACAGTCAGCTGCCTGTAGAAGCTGAGGAGCAAACGGGGAATATGTTACCTGAGGAGCAGGAGGTGGATGGAGATGTGCGTCACTCTGAGGACAGACAGCGCAGTGGGAATACTCAGCATGGAGGTCTTGGCTCACCAGGGGACGATTCCGGTACGCGTGAAGAGCAGAATGCCCAACCAGCTATTCCTGTGGTGGATGAGGACGTTTGGGAAATCTCTGAAGCGTATACTCAGAACATCTGAAAGTAAATCTCCATGAATCAATACCCTTTTGTGTATGCATGAATAAATTCTGACAACTTAAAATCTAAGCCCAATTTTTGAATATTAATGTCGGCAAATTATTACGAAAGTCCAGTTAAAGTTCTTTTCTAGCTTTTACGAGCCATTAATTGTCAATCAAGAAGACTGGTTACCCCACCAAATAATGCAAGTGATGTAAGCCTGGTTAGTAAATAAGTCCTGACTTTGACTTCCATTCATTTGTAGCTCTGCTGGGTGTGTTGCTGGACTTCAGCTGGGCCTGTGCACTGAGCGCTTCCTCGTTGCCTGCCTTTTCCTCTAAGGGCACGTGCCGTCAGTCTCTGCAGTCTGAGACGTACGATGGCTCTATAAAACTGCCTCAAACCAAGTATTTTGTGTTCGGTTTATTTCTTTTTAATATGTGTATGTTTGCATAAATTGAGTGGTTATTCAGGCTGACCATTTATTAAAAACATGTAGTTCTGTCATGTTTTTTGTTTTATGACACAACATGTATGACAAAAAGCCTTCGTTTTGGTTCATGTCAGCAAGTAATAAAGTTATTTTGCCTCTGAAGTCGTGCTGATTAAAATGTTTTATTCATGCTCAGTATTTTTACTGATTTCATAATTTTGACAATTGCTGAATGACATTTCATCTTTATTTCGTTTCTTTTTTGGGCTCATGCAGTGGTATTTATAAGTTGTTATAGAATATGAGCATTTTAGGCTTCAGAACTTCCTTAGGGATGGTTTGGTCTGAATGGTTTTCCTCCCTCGCTGCTTTCATGGCTGCCTTCTGCTCTCCTGCACATCTGTCGTCCTTTTCGTTCGTCAGCCAGCTCAGGTTTTCTCCTTGGGCAAGGAAGCTGTCAGGTGCTACATTGGTAATTGATGTCAGTGCCACGTAAGCGTTAATATGCAGACATGTCCTGCCTGGAAGCTGGAGAGCAGTGAATGTCTTGTAACCTTCTGTTTGTATGCAGTCAAAGGGGTTGTATTATTAAAACAGCACTTCTTAAAATTGCTGCCTTTGCATTTTCATCAACACAGTCTCTTCTAGCTATTATCGGAGTCATATTCCCAAATTTAAACAATTAACTAATAACTAAAAATTTAATATGCTAGTGTTCATATGTGGGGTTTCTGAACTGGCCGGAAAATAAGGGTTGCTGCCCGATTTATCCATACTCGATGCGGACCTTCTGGTTTGGTGTGTGATCATACCATGTTTGTTCTGCTTGAATGGGCCCCTCACACACAAGGCAATTATTTCCCCAAAAAACACAGGTAGTTCATTGCAACTTTATACCGTTGAATAATTTGACCTTGTTTGACCTGCATCTATTCATAATGGAGCTCCTCAGACAGGTCTGTTGGTCCCTCAGTAAGGACTAGGAAGGATTTTGTTTTTAAATGACTTACACCACAATCCACCTAAATCTGATCCATAAGCTTTCTTTTCCTGATCTGGTACAGACTGGTCCTTTCGCAAATGTCCAGCCACATCCTGCAGTAAGCAGGTGACCCAATAAAGGAGAATCTGATCAATGGAAAGAAGAGTGCATTACCAACAAATGTTCAATGAGCCCTGCCTTGTAAATGATCTGGGTCTTTTTGAAGGATGATTTGAATGAAAGGGGGTTAGTGTAATGATGATTTTAAAACTTTACAGATTAACAACATAAGCAGCCCTGAACTGTAAGGTGAGTTTAAGTCGCCCCAATTCTGCCGCGCTGCTGCCAGGCCTCCACTTCACGCTAGCTCTAGCTTTTTAAATGTCCTATAAAGACTATTATAAAGACTATTATAAAGACTATACTATATAACAGCCTTTCCCAGTCCAGTCTTCAGGGACCCGCAGACAGTCCACATTTTTGCTTCCTGCCAGCTCCCAATCGGCTCCCAATCGACTGTCTGAGAAGAAGCAAAAACTTGGACCATCTGTGGGTCTCTTAAGGACCGAGTTGAGAAACACTGTTCTATAAAGACTATGCCATATAAAAATCAATCGGTTTGAATTAAAGGAACAAAGAGAAGCACAGCTAAGAGTCAAATCACGTTCTTGTCATTTCACACACATGAAAGCAAAGCGAGATTCTTCAGAGCATCAGACGTCTGGGACCAAGAATAGCTGAACAATGAAAAAAAATTAAAAATAGCCAAAAACAACACACGACAGTACACAGCAACAAGAACAACAACTCAGTGCAAGTAATACGAGTAAACAGCAGTGCAAAATAACACAAAAATATTGCAGTGCAGAGGGATTTGGTGTGTGAGGGGGTGTTTGAGGAGGTCGGTGTAGATGTCCAACATGATGGCTCTCCATTCATGTGTCCCTGACCACTCGTAATAAATGATCTCTGAACAGGCAACGGTGCTGAATACAAATAGCAAATATAATTGTGTAGAGAATCTACTTCAAAAACTTTAACACTATGGAAAGGCAGAATTGGCTGGCCAGTGATATTTGTAATGGAAGTTAAATAATGACAGGGCAACAAGTAGTAGAGCATAAAACTGAGTGGAGGGCTGGAGGGGATACGGCTGGAGTATCCCTGGGCCAAGTACGTAAGCTGATCTACTTTCGTAAAACTCTATGCTTTATAGTGTCATGGTGTACATGTAATGAACTGAACAGTGCTTCACTAGAACTTGAAAACATAGTTCCTTACCTTCCTCCTACTGTGAAAGACTATTTACATTAGTTAAAAGTACAGAACAATCTATGAAAGAACAATATATTGTGATGAATGTTTATTATGTCAAATCATTTGTTTAAACTGTGGGAAGTATATTGTTGACTATACAGGAACCATAATATGAAGAAAGTGAAAAGCTAATTTGAATGGTTTAACTGGTTCATGACTTCATATGAATTGAAATCACATGCCTGTGGCTGCAGTTGGCTGGATGAGAAGAAAAGAGCATGAGTCAGTGTGGCCTGATCTAGAGTATTTAACAATAAGGTACAGCAAAACCCAATCAGCTGCTCAGTGGCCTGTCTAACTAAAATAAACCTGTAGCTCTGTGCCAAGAGGCAGTTCTACCCAACTGGCTCTAACACCAGGCAGCAGGGAAGAGCGGATGACAAGCTCTAAAGGCTCTCAGGCTGGGTGCCAGACCAACCCCCCTTGATTACAGGTCTCTGATGGTGGCTTCCATTTGGAACATCAATTCAGGTTCTAGAGGTTCTTTTTTTTCATTGCTTTCTTTGTCAAACATAATCCCTTTTGTTGTGCCTAAACTATTCTCTTGTGCCTAAACTATTGTTTTAAGCCTCATGATACATGCGCAGTACAACAAATAACTCTGGATAATTGATATTAATGTGGCATTGCAGAATAAATCTAAGACAGAACGCAATGTTTTCTCCTAGGTAATTAATTGACAAAAGTGGTTCATTAAAGAAACCCATGTTGTATTAATTGCCTGTTATTGTTCGATACTACAATAGCTGCCTGCGCTTTTTTGTTGCCGAGTGCCAGTGTGATGTAAACCTGCTGACGTCAGTAGACGCTTACATTGCAATCAGACCTTGCTGGCTCTCCCCCATCCTAACCCTCCTCCCCAACCAGCCCCGCCATTTGTATGGATGGGAGCGGGCTTTCAGGCAGCTATCAGTCAAAGCAGACATCTCCCCTCTCCATTGGGTAAGGTGATGGGGGTATTTCCCCATTAAAATGCAGGACGGATTGCGTTTAGCTCTCCGAAGACTGGCCCAGTCTTACATGTGCAAATGACAGGGCAGCAGTTAAATCGTCAGGCTCTAGTTTTACGAGCTCATTCTTAAACCACATTTTCAAATATGCAAGGATGGAGGTATAGCACAGGCGATTCTAGGGTTTGAATATTGAAAAGGACAACTGACATCACATTGAACTGTAAAACTCTGATGGAGTTAATAAGAATGTTTTTGAAGAAATTAAATATCTCTGGTAATGAAACCTAGCAAACACTAATGGAATTGAGCATCTTTTTAGGGTTTAAATGTGGTCAGCTGGCTAGACAGGAGAGAGATGCCCATTTGATATGCTAGTATTCCAGTATAATGACGGCTGTTTCTTGCACGCTGCTGTTCGCTATGAAACTTGTTCACGCTCTGTTTACAGTGCTATTTGTACAGCACGGAAGTAAACTTTACATTTACAATGTCTTTGCGACTAATACTGAGGGCTCACGTTTTTTATTTCATCTGTTATCTTACTTTGCTGTGAAAGTTATCAAAATAATTAAACCATGGCAGTTGTGCAACTGAGAACTCCATAAAATATCATTTCTGTGCAAGCATGTTTGTTTGAGAGCAACATCATAAGGAAGTTATGGCTACATTTGCAATGGATCCAGAGAATCATCGGCTGCCTCACGTGCAATGAATAAACACCATTGGCTCCTGTAAAATTTTAATGATAAGATTGGTCCCCCAGTACGTTAAGCACTGACCATGAATGATAATTGTAATGCCACATCTGTCAAACATCCACATTAACAGTGTATTAAGGCTTTTAGGGATTTGCTACAAGCAAGCTAACCACTTATGGTCCACGTGACTCAGAGCAGTTAGCTATTAATCTGTATTGGTCAAGTCTTTTTTTATTTTAAAAAAGAAACACTATGCACATTTTTCTGAGGGATATGTGCTCACAGTTTAAAAATACATTTTAATGAATTTATATGTTACTCTTCTGGGATATGTAAAACACTGAGGATGAATGCCGTTGTTCTCAAATGCTCATTTCATAAAGGGTCTCATGGACCCCTCATCATGTGAATTCAGTCAGGGAAACAGCGTTAGGGCAAAATGAATGGGCCCACGTTATGACACACACACGCACACACATAATATATTGTATATATTATTTAATACATATAATAAGGTAATTATAGTTAAGCCACTTTCTAATGTGGTTCCTAATTTACTTACTTCAGCAGAAATGTTTTCAAGTTGCTTAAACTTAATTTCGGATTCAGTATACAATAATTCGTATGATTGCAATCTGTATGGACAATGTAGACATTAATTTCTGTATTACTTTATTGTTACGCTTAATATATTTGGAAGATGATCTAATCTCGAGCAACGCATAAGCCACACATAAATATGCACAGTATATATTTAATTGGAAATATTCACTGTATATCAAATACATTTCTGCTTAGAAAGCATGCAGTTTTACTTAAAATATGTAGACGGGAAGCGATTATTCGTGGTGCATTTTTATTGGGAACTGGAATGCATTTGACTGCATATATTAATTAATTAATCATGTATCATACATGTACTCGGATCATGCTGTCATATACCAGTCACTGTTTTCTACATTTAAGGTAAAAACGGTTTAAAATTCTTTAGGTATTTCGTTTTCTTTTTGCAAAACACTTTTCGCGATGTTTCAGCCTCATATCATTTACTTTTGCTTTACTAATCTAAAATACTATTTACGTCCAATATTGTTTACATTTAGCCGCAAATTACCAATTATTTATTAGGTCCAAATAAACTGTATTTTTAGAGGGTGATCATTAAAGAAATTGAGTTAGATAAGTCCCCTTTGTTTTATTATCTGCATGTTTACCTGAATTGTAGACCGCGAATCTCATCGTTTGCTAGCAGCTTTTTTACTTTTAAATTCATATAATGCGCAAAGATCTGGCAACGCCCATGTCGTTAGAAAGAAATTGTTGCCAGCAGTTCACCCTTCAGCTGCAATGCTCCTAAATTAGAACAATACGTGAAACTGAATGTGAAACACAATGAGGTTCATGAACAAGAAAAAAAGCTTAACATAAAAAATTATCATTGTTTCTTTCGGCCAAAGCGGCTCCGGCTTTTATGTCATTAAGGAGTAATTGTGATCAGCTTTGTGTCTCCCACTCTTAAGTCGGATATATTATTAGCGAAACTATTGCACCGATCTGGTGTCAGTTGGAAGGCGTAGCCGGCAGCTCGTCCTCTGTATGATCGTAACATTTCGTCAGAAACTCGTTTCTGTTCGGGTACAGCTTCCGGAATCTCTCGGCACTTGCCGGCCGGTTCACCGAGGCTCCGTTTTTGTTCGCTTTTCCGCGTCCCCTCCTCACCCTCCGCCTCTCCCCAGACTGGCTTTATGTCTGGCGGTTCTGCGGCGTTAGCGCGCATGCGCCGTCGCCATGTTAGCGAGCCCTCCTCCCCCTTGTCTCGTCACAGAGAGAAACAGCTACATTACGAGAAGGTGGCTACGGTGGGGAGACGGCGAGAGGGTGATACAGCAAACATTGGATTTAAAAACAAAGACATGACAGGATGGAGTAAACAAGCGTTGTGATCGACGAAAAGGGGATTTTCCAATAAGAAGAATCTTACGTCGCTCACGGATTGTTTAATTTAGCTAACGTTGTTAGCTATTTTCAAATTATGCGACTCAGCGGCTGGCAGTGATGGAGATGGTCTCTTGTTGCCCAAGAAGTGATAGATGTATACTAATAACTAGCTATATTTTTGTCTTGTGTATATGTACTTAAATTGTCTTATAAAGATAAAAAATAAAGAGATGAACTGGATTTAAGACACGCAAGTACAAGCGCGTCTGTATAGATCGCTAGCTGCATAGTTAGCTAACCTAGCTATCACAGTGAGAGCTCCCGATTGGCTAGCGTTATATCACTGGGGGGAAATTTTACACCGACGGAAAGTTAAACTAGTTACGGCATAAAATAATATCAGTGACGGATGTTATTTTTTTCGATTATTACTTACCGAATAAAGTCTGCTCTCAGCTAAGGCTTTGTCGACTCAATCCTACCTGCTATCTTCTGAAAACGTGTCTATTTATTAGTCTGTGAACTAGCGTTACTCCTGGAAATTCACGAAATGCATCATCCGGAGTCATCAGGAGATTCCGCTAGCACTAGAAAGATGGCGCACCCGGCAATATTTCCTCGCAGAGGTAGTATTTCGGCATTGACAACGGCGACGAGTACTGGCGTTAGCAATAATATTATTTCTGCTGAAGATTATCAATCTCCCTTGTTGATACAACCCCCACCTCCGGTCGGCTCTTCCTCCTCGGGGCCACAACATCCTCCTCAGAGCCTTAACCTCCTTTCCCAGTCCCAGCTGCAGTCCCAGCCTCTCCCGTCGGTCGGTGCTCAGATGAAGAAGAAAAGTGGCTTCCAGATCACTAGCGTTACGCCGGCTCAGGTACCCGTAAGCACCAACAATAGCACTGCAGAGGACACTGAGAGTTACGATGATCTGGACGAATCGCACACAGAGGATTTGTCTTCATCTGAGATCCTGGATGTGTCCCTGTCCCGGGCCACTGATATGGGAGGTCCGTTGAGGAGCTCCTCTGAAGAGACTCTGAACAACTTTCATGAGGCAGAGACCCCTGGTGCGGTCTCTCCCAACCAGCCCCACCTTTCCAGCAAGCCATCGCACCACCTACCCCAGACTCATCAGCAAGGCACTATAGTGAATGGGACTGTACACCATCAACATCACCACCACCACCATGGGCAACACCATCAAGTGCATGTCGCTCAGCCTGCGGCCGCTCCCCCACCTGCGGCGGTCTCTAGTGGGCCGTCTTGGACACCAGAGGGGGGAGGTATTTCTGCCTCTGCTACCTCCACCACCGGGGTTTTGTCAAGCATTTCCCAGGTGATACCTGCTACTGCCGGCACTGGCAGTGTCACGGCCCCACCGTTAGCCAACATCATTCCAGGAATGCTCCCTGGTGCGGCAGGAGCCCCAATAAGTGGCGTAAACACCTTGACAAGCAACGTCAGCAATGTGAGTAGACTGAGTTCCGCAAGCACCCCGGTGCTGGGGATGACCAGTACCAAAAGCAGCAGCACCGGTGTTGCCCCAGGACCCGTAAGTGGTGTAACCGGCATCATAGGAAGTGGAAGCAAGAATATAAACTTGGTGCAAAAACAAGCTGTCACTACAACCGGCAGCGTCGCCATGATTACTGCCACCCTGACCGGTGGCTCCAGCGCAGCGGGGACCGGCACGCCCGGTATGGGCCAGCCAACCCCGTCTGCCCCACACAGCCAGGCTCAGCAGCCGGCCCAGGTTCCCGCCGGTTCCCGCTTTCGGGTAGTGAAGCTGGATTCCAGTTCTGAGTCGTTCCGGAAGGGACGTTGGACATGTACCGATTATTACGACAAAGAGGCGCCCCCTGCCACTGTCACTGCGGCTTCTGCCACGGACACCATGCCTACCCACCGGTCGGTGGAGAGCAGCGTGGCTGCAGAGCGGGAGGCCGTGGTCAGTGAAGAGGCATCGGGACCTGCTGCCATGCAGGCTTTTCAACAAGCCCAACACCAACCTTCTGCCCCTCCGCTGCAAGACTACGGCACCCATCCAGGGCTGCAGCCCTCCCATCCTAGCCTTGCTCAGAGTGTGCCCCAGCCTCAAGGACACCCCCAGGACATGGTGCACCCTCTCCTAAAGACCAGTGCGCCTCCCCCTGTGCCTGCCGGCATGGCTTCCATCCGGCCGCCGGCTATGGTGACTCCTGGAAGTCTTCCCCAGCCAGTGGTGCATTCCACCCCAGCTGTGCCCCCTCAGGGTTTGCCGGGGGTGGCCCAACAGATGGGTTACCCTCCCACACAGCCCGCGCCCACCCAAGCCGTTCACGCTTTGCCGACGAGCCAAGCAGGTGGCCTGCCACCCGAGTTCTCCCAACACCAGCCGATCCTCCAGGCCCCGCTGGTGACACAGCCTTTGCCACCTATGCCCGCCAGCCTGCCCCCAGTGGCGGCAGCTGCGCCATCTGGGGCTTCCCCAGCGATGGCTGCGGGTCAGCAGCCTGTGGTGAGTCTGTCTGCATCTGTCTCTCAGCCTCTTCACCCGGGCCTCCTGCCACAGCAGACCTCGTCAGTCCCGGTCCCTCAGGCGTCCCAGGGTGCCATCACCACTCAGATGCTCCCGGGTGCAGCGCAGGTGGCTGCCCAACAACTGATCCACACCCAACCACTCCCACCCGAGCCTCAGCAACCGGCCTCGAGTCAGGTCGCGCCGACGGTGCCTCCCAGCGTCCCGGCTGACTCCCAGCCCAGCCTTCCCCAGAGCTCTCTGGCCATGCCGAGCGGGACCCGATCAAGCCTCGCGCAGGGCCAGGGCTCGCAGCCGCCTGCCGGGGCCCAATACATCAGCCCACCCTCTGTGACCGCCACGCAGTTGGAGGATGCCCAGCGCCTTCTCTTTCAGCACCATTCCCTGCTTTCTCTCCCCAAGATGGCCGCTGGAGACGCTTCTTCAGAGGCTGGTGCCTCTCTGGGGGCAGAGGGGAGCAGTGGTGCAAATGCCTTAACTGCCTCAGCGGGCCTGTTTCCTCTGAAGAGCCTGCCTGTGGATGGAGAGGATGATGGGTAAGCCTGTCTGGGGTTCCTTCTGACCTGCCACTGATAAGATCTGATGGGCTTCTTTGGAGTGCATCTGTAGAAAACCTGAAACCTAGAAGAATCCTGAGTCCATTTTAGCAATGGAAGAGCTCACATTTGTTTCTGTTTGTTTATTGGATCTTGTAATTCAGTTCTGTTTTTTTTTTTCTCTTCTCGATCGTTCATACGTGGGACCTAGAAATACATTAGAAACCAGCCTCTGTGCAGTGCAGGGATTCTAAATATAGCCTGGATCACAATAGCAAGCCCATTTGAGGAGGAGAGGAAATATTTATCACACACAGACCTTCACAAGAGCCTCTATTTGTTTCTGCTTTTTAGTCTGAGGCCGAATTATGGACTGACGTTGAGCTATTTTTTTTAATGGTTCCCTGGCAGTAATTTATTTTTCTGTATAGATTTGAATGCCTTTGAAATACGAAGGACAAGTTACATGTTGTAATGGTGAGTCTGTTGGAAGAACAGTGGCCTGGTTCTTCATTGGTTATAGTGACCTTGCAGTTCAGCCGTCTGCGCTGCTGCAGTCCATATATATATATATATATTTCTTTTTTTCTGCAATGTCACAGAGGATGGCGAACACACCCAGTGGGCACGAGTGCCATCCAGGCGGCCGGTTGCTATGGCCTTCAGCTTGTGGGGCTTTGCGAGGCGCGGGATTGGACAGATCCCGGTCGCCGTGGCAGCTCTTTTGTGAGTGATGCCACACGGATTCCTCAGTGTTCTCCAGGAGTCTGGCGTACACAGTGTTCGCTGCTGCAGCTCCCCAGATCACCGGCGCAGGCCTCTGCCCGGACGTGACGTGTTCGATTTAATCAGGGGCTGATGTGCGATTACTCCAGTGGAATGACCAGGCATTCCTTGCGAAATAATAAGTCTTGTGATTGTTGGAATGAAGTACATCTGTGCCTGTTAGTATGAATGACATTCTCACTCGGCTAATGTATATTTTTTTTAAACGATATACTTGATGCGTTTTGCTGTTTTTTTTTGTAAGGGCTCTTCAGCTCCTCCATGACCTCTCAGAGGTTTGTTTGTCCATTGACTCTGACATGTGTTTCTCATTATTTCAACCTTTTTAGGCCTTTTCGGTCAGTCATAGGCTTGTAAATCTCACACTGTTCCCGCTAAATTGAAAAACATTTTTTCTTTCTCTATATTCAGTTGCACCTGAACCTTTTTCAGAGGAATATATATTTCGAAACAGCTGGTTTCTCTAGAAATATGCTTACTAGCTGGAACGGTCTACATGTGGAAAGTCATGTATATTATATGTGAATGTAATACACACACACTCTTAAATAGAAGTTGCAGTAGAAGTAGATATGGAAATTTGTTGAGGGACATAAAGACTTGGTTATCCTGTTGAAGCTTACAAGCTTTTTTATAGTATTAAAAGCCTGTGACAGCTGCTTGAGCTTTCAGTGCTGGTCATAAGTACTTAGCAAAGATGATTTACTCTTGTAATCAGTTTTAATGTTTGTTTCTGGTGAGGGGTTTGAATTACTTTGCCGCCGCAGGAACTACATGTTAATAATCCTTGGGATATTAGCGCCTTTTTTTGTTTACCGATAAAGCTCTTAAATGCTCAGCAGACTGTTATAGAATTGCCCCTGCAATCATTTCATGTCATTCCCATAGACCACCTTCTCATTTAAGTTGCTGGGGGGGGGGGTCCTAGTCAGTTTCCACCTTCTGTTCTGCGATTCTGTCTGTGTTTTACGGCTCTCTGTTCAAGACAACTGAACCTTAGTTTCAGGCGGTGGCTTGCATTCCTTAATGTTTTGTTTGCAAGGTTTTGCAAGAAGTTCAATTGATCATTTTGTGTTGGGGGAGATTGCAGACATCAGACTTCTGACCACCTATACTGATCACGGGAGGGCGTGAGTTATATCCACATCAGTGTAGAACACAATGCGGGTGAACACTTTGGCCAGGGTACCTGTCCATCACAGGGCACACATACAGTTACACACTAAAGGCAATTTAGGAACGCCAGTTTGCCTACATGCATGCGGCTCAGCAGCACAGGGAGAACATGCAAACATGCCAAGTGGCCGATCCACGCGTCAGGAATAATTTTCATGAGGTCATTGGGAGAAGCATTAAGTCGGGTCGGGGAGAGATTATGGGGCTCGGCAAGAGTTTCCTCTGGTTTTTAGGGAGAACAAAAATATATTTGAGATGTTGAAAAAGCAACAAATTGTATCGAAAGTCAGACAAGCTTTCACCCGGATAAAGGAGAAGTGCAAGTGAGTCACATGGGCTGGCGTTTGGTGAAGTCTGATCGCCTGGCAGGAAAACCGTACACAAAGCAGAAGTGTGTGTCTGTTTTTTTTTTTTTTAAATTTATTTAATTTTATTATTTTTAATTAGCCTTATACACATAGAAGCTGAGTGTGGATCTTATGCCTGCAGCATGAAAAACCTCAAACAGAGCAGCCCTGCAGTTCACCTTCGAAAAAGTCGGAGAGGCCTGGTTTGCGAGCATCGAATTCTCCTGCTGATGCAGATCAGGCATGAGCTTATATCGGGAATGCAATAGTGAGTAATAATTTTGGCCAGCCAGTAACAGGGGATTCGCTGATAATGCGAAGTGTGCTGCTCTGTCTAGTAACCCAGGATATTGCAGGATCAGGAATCTGAGATCCTGACGGCTAAGAAGCGACCTCTCTGTTTCAGGTAGAAGTACGTTTAAAAAAAAAAAAATGCCACAGCATCAGTCACCGTGCTGACTGACGAAAAATAAGGAACACAATCACCTTCGCTGGCTCCTCTTCAAGAAACCCATGCAAGTTTCAGACTCTTAAATATTCCTGTCTGCCTGAATAGAGATTTTTCCCGCTATGAATGGATGCGATAATTTATTAAATTATGAATTAGCCTTTTGTTTATTATTAACTACTGAAGTTGTTATAAAGCAGTTTAATTAGTGCCTGATTTACACCTAAAACAGCAGGGAACCTGTTATTCAATTAATCATTTTAATAAAGACAATGTGAATGAGGAAGGTTGAATGAAAGAATGAAACAGCTTGTGGCCCTCATGGGCTGGATTGGGCACCTGTGGGTTTTGGGTGTTTTTTTTGTTTTGTGTTTTTTTTGCTGACCTAAAACATTCGTAGACAGAATGTTGCTGTCAGCAAGACACCTTTTTTGAATTTCTAATCAGGTGAGCTAATTTGGTATCAGTTTATTACAGCCATTCCCTGTGATGCCGGTGTAAAGCAGTTGGGCTGATTGGAGGATGATTGATGTCCGTGGTCCGGCTGACGTTTGTGTCACTACGGAGGATGGGGGGTGGTCGTTGGCACCGCTTCCCATCTGTGGGACCCGGTTGAACCCTGCTTTGTGAGCCTGGCCTTTGGGACCCTCTTCATAAAAGCCCTGGGTCAGTCGCTGATGGATCGTCCCCTTTCATTATCAGTTAGCTGTAAGCTTTGCTTAGTTAAGCTGCTGATTTACCACCCCCCAAGGTATGGATTTCTTCTAACTCTATTATAATATTTTCAAATACGGACAGTATCAGTATATATGTTGTTTGAGTAAAAAGACATGAATCCTCCATAAGAGGAGAGGACATTATTTCCGTTTAAGATATAAATAATCACACATTTCTCCAGTATTTTTGCAGACATTTTCTTTTTAAAGATTGAATTTACCATATACGGTGATGGGTTGGTGCCTCACCCAGGGTTGTTCCCTGCCTTGCGCACGTGGCTTCTGGGATAGGCTCCAGACCCCTCTAACCCTGCACAGGACATGAGTGTTGAAGATTTATGGATGGGTGGATGTCTCTGTCTGAGGCTTGTATTCCACTGCCCCAGACCACTTTTCCAATTTGTTTGAAAATCGCCTTGAAAGCCCAGTGCAGTTAATCTGTAGTTTGTAGGTTTATAGCCCATCGTCACGGGAGACCCGCAGCAGTAGCCTTGAATGAGGCACATAATCTCAATGGCTTCAGTGTGACGACAGGCTGTGTAAAGGGTGGGACAGAGTGTTTCGGTAGATTGACGCACCACCTGATTTTAATAAAGGTAAATGTGAGTTGCATAGCGTGCACTGCATGTAAATGGCTGGCAGTTTAACATTTTTTCTCTCACACGTCTGAATTTTCTGGTTGAGTTTCCTGTTTGGCAGAGAGGCAGGCCCGTTCTCGTGTCCTCGCTGCCTTCCGCATGTCGTGGCCCTGCCCCGCGCTTCCTAATCCGCGGCGGCCTTCTTGCTGATTCGCAGACCCGGTTTGGGATATTTGGCTGCAAAGTGTGTCGGTTATGCTCTGCCATGAAGTGCATGATTCCTCTACTAGCCTGACACCTCTTTAAAGTCCCTGAATGTTATTAAGGGTGCAGTCTGCTCATTGAGTGAGTGGCTCAGTGGTCTAAGTCTCTGTGCCTGTGATTAGAAGATCATTGGTTCGAGTCCTGGCCTCGGCGGAACAGTCACATGTCCGTGGGCCCTCGGGAAGGGCCCTTAACCCCCAGATCTAGGGGCCCCACTGGTTGGGTGACCCTGCACTGTGACTCCCAAGCTTGGGAGAGCAAGAGGGGTTAGGTGAAGAGAAACATTCCACCGTACTTGTACTTGGACAATTAAAAGCATCTATCTTTTTAGTTATATCATGTATAGTCTTATTAGAATCAAGGGATACAGATGTATGATATTTACCAACTGTTTTAATTTATTGGTATTTATTGTTAAAGACATTTTGTTTGCTCGCTACAGTTAATGCTTGGCTACCTGCATGTCAAGTATACAGCCTTCAGTGCACATGTATAACAAGCAGTGACGGTTGTATGGGAATTGCGTGTTATGTGGCTCAAAATCTGTTGATATAAGAAATGGTAGAGCAGGTTTTGTTTGGGCTGATTTGATCAAACTCCTGGCTGGGTATGGATTCATTCACAGTTCGCCGCACACTTTGGTGTTCAACTCTAAAAATAACACAAAGGGCTCTTTTGGTGTAGT